TAATGTCAAATTTTCAGTGTTTTTTTTAATGCTCGATACTCGATAGAACAAAATGATTCTCTTTTCGGAATCAGGGTAAGCAATTACGCAATGGCAATGGGATGACGTCAGTAAACCATTAGGAAACTTCAGACAGGACATGCAATATTTAGAAGACCCTCGTTTGACTTCTGATTTCACTCACCAAACACGTCATCCCAGCCAGCATTCATAGACGTATAAATAGCAGCTAACCACTCCCCAAATTTAGCAATCCCTCTCTCTCTCTCTCTCTCTCTTTTTCTACTAGCTAAAGCTCCTGTACGAATTAATCAAGGGCAATTTTGTGATGTCTACAGAACAAGAACACCCCAAGAAAGCCTTTGGTTGGGCCGCCAGAGATTCATCTGGCGTTTTCTCACCCTTCAAATTCTCAAGAAGGTAAATATTAAACCAAACTTCGTCATCAACTTCTTGTTTAATCAATCTTTTTATATGTTCTCTGAAAATTGCATTTTTTGGCTGCAGAGAAACCGGTGACAAAGATGTGATGTTTAAAGTGTTATATTGTGGAATATGCCATTCAGACCTTTACATGGCCAAGAATGAATGGGGAAGGTCTAACTATCCATTGGTTCCCGGGTACATACTAAACTTGCATTTTAAATGTTACAAGTTCTAATGTCAAATGGTACATTGTAGAACGAACACATACATTTATAGTATTTGAATTTGGATTTTGGTATCCATTTAACTTATGGAATGTGAACTGGCCAATACAGACATGAGATTGTTGGTGTAGTGACAGAGGTAGGGAGCAAAGTACAAAATTTCAATGTTGGAGACAAGGTAGGTGTTGGATGCATGGTGGGATCATGTAAATCTTGTGAAAGTGGTTCTGACAATCTTGAAAATTACTACCCCAAATCGATACTTACTTATGGTTCCAAGTACTACGATGGAACCACCGCATACGGAGGTTACTCTGACATCATGGTGGCCAATGAACACTTTGTAGTCCGTATCCCAGACAACATTCCCCTTGATGGAGCGGCTCCTCTCCTATGCGCTGGGATTACAACTTGCAGCCCTTTGAGATATTTCGGACTTGACAAACCAGGTATGCATGTGGGTGTGGTGGGTCAGGTGGTCTGGGCCATGTGGCTGTCAAGTTTGCTAAAGCCATGGGGGTTAAGGTTACTGTCATCAGTACCTCCCTTAATAAGAAGGATGAAGCAATTGAACATCTACACGCTGATTCGTTTTTAGTCAGCCGCAATAAAGATCAGATGCAGGTACGATGAGTATTAAATTAAACAAGTTTGTTTAGTGATTCAAGTTTATTTGAAGTGTGTAGGGATGGCTGAACTTTTCTGTTTTTTTTTTTTTGTGTGGATTTTTTAGGTTGCCACGGGCACATTGGATGGTATCATTGACACAGTTTCTGCACTCCACCCTCTATTGCCTTGGATTGGTTTGTTGAAGTCTGACGAAAAGCTAGTGATGGTTGGAGCACCAAAGAAGCCTCTTGAGTTTCTTGTTTTTTACTTTGCTTGTGGGTAAGCATGCATGTAAAATAATGCACTGACATGTTTACTTTTTCTTTCCTCTATACAAATTATATTTCCACTGAGGAAGGAGGATTTGTGGCATGACGGGTTTACTTTTTAAACTGTGTAATGTCTTTGGCGGCAACTTCTTTATAAGGGTACATTTTGCAATTGCAGGAAGGAAGATTGTAGCTGGCAATAACATTGGGGGCATGAAGGAGACGCAAGAGATGATTGATTTCGCAGCCAAGCACAAAACAACAGCTGATATTGAGGTTATCCCAATGGATTATATGAACATTGCCATGGAGCACCTTCTTAAAGCAGATGTCAGATATCGATTTGTCATCGATATTGGAAACACATTGAAGTCTACCTTGTAGACTTTGCATCGATGCATGTAGAACTGATGCCCTTTGGGCTTTTGTTTCCTTTTTTTCTGAAGAATCAACTCTGTTTTCGGTTTTTTATGTTTTATGTTTCTGATTTTTGTTTATGTTTTAGGTCGCATTATGAGTGGAATGTAATAGTGCATTATGAGTTAATGAATAAATGGAATGCGTGTATTTGAGAATTAGTGTCATGTGGGATTTGTTTTGGTTTGTCTTGTAAATAATGCCCCAAATGGTAACATGAATCGGTAAATATTCTCCAACAATTCTGGGGTTACTAAAAGGGTTTTTATTGGTACCTAACAAAGTCATATCAATTGATGATGAAATATATATCAAAAACCCCACAAATCAGTCCTTTGATCCAAATGGATGAACTCTACTACACAGGTATAGTTACCGTTCAAATGGACAAACTAATTTACATTTTCCACCTTCTCTCCTTCCTTCTTAACCCTCATTCGGATGTGAAATCAGACTTGTGCGCAGTCACAGTTACACAGTCTTGTCGTCGCACAAGACCAAGTCCCTTGTCGTGACAAATAACAAATATCAATGGCAAGAAATAATGGTGATAACAAATAACGGATTATATGGTTGTATGAGTAGATGAAACATACACTTCTTCCTCACCCTTCCCACCACCTCCCCTTCATCATTTTTTTTGGTATACCTTTTTTTTCTAAGGCATAGAAAGATGAAAACTAAAAAGGAATTGTTATTGACACTCTAAAATTTTATTTTGCATTCCAAATATTTTATAATTAGAAAGAAACATACACTTGTGAGAAGTGTAAATGAGATTTTTAAAGTGTTATTAACAATTCCCAACTAAAAACTTTTTCTTTTGGGTCAAATGAAATTATTTCCATTAAAAAACTAGTATAAGAAAGAGAGAGAACAAAAGGCCTCCCATAAACAGCAGTAGATAAAGTAAAAGGCCCAAGCAAAACAAGAGAAGCAACCCAAGATATAACATAACGCCCACACAAACTTAGGAGCATAGACAGAAAAAACAAACAACAAAAAAAACCTATTCTGAAGCAGCATAAACCAAACCGCCACCGCCCCTACATCCTCGAAGGAAGCCAAACTCTGAACTAAGAAAATAGACACAAGATCCAAAATCCCCCCCCCTTTACAAACCCGTGCAAATATATACAAAAAAAGTATCATATGGATAGAAAGTGAGGCTACATAACGTGGCAGAGGCCACAAAATACTTAGCCTCGATGAGGATCTGACATGTCAGTTAAGGAAGGGGAAATGAGGGAGGGAAATGGATTTGATATCCAATTTCAGATCAGAGCATGTAAATTCGAGCACATGACGGGGTGGGGATGGAATATTATGGTTAAAGAGGAGGAAGGAAGAAAAGTAACAGAGAGAAAGTAGTAAAACAAATGAAAAACACCGAATTAGGGCCATGAAGCCCAAATTCCGAATCTGAGACAAGCTCAAGGTAATTGAGACTAAGCTTAAGAAAGACTGGAAAGGGGAAAGGAAGAGGGCTTGAGAAGCTATAAAGAGGAAGGGGCAGAGCAGATGGGAGGGGAGGAAAAAGGGGAAAAAGGGCAGAAGAGATGGGAGGAAAGGAGGGGGAAACGTAAGAGGGGGTAGTGGCCTGTGAGAATGAGGGAAGGAGAAGAAAATAAGGGTGGGTTTCCCCCAGCACCTAAGCCAAAGGCTAGGGCCGGTGGCAAAAGAGATTCCTGAATTAGTGTTTCAGCAAAGAGTAGGTTTTTTTTTTTTTTTTTTAATAGAAAAAGTACCTAGAAAAAGATCTCTGGATACTAAAATTTACGTTGAAAAAAACTAAAAACTAAATTTTATAAATGAATATCATAGATATAAGTACTTGGTGTATCTTCTGCAAATTTATGGTCATTAGTTGATGAAAACTTCATATAAGTCCAAATAAGTTTCTATGTGGTGCTTGCCTTGATGGAGACTGAGTTTGCTACTCAGAGAGATGTGTATGGTTTCACCAACCAACGTCTTACGCCCCCACATAGGAGTAAGAAATAGTTTGTCTCATCTCCAAAATTGCCTCTTTCATTGTATAAGCACTCTTCATCTTTTATTATAACTCTGTTATATTTTTAACACAATATTTTATAGTATTAATATGATAATTAATGTAAAATTGTGAGATTATTAGAGAACCCAATATTGCTTTGAGAAAATCTGCATAATATTTCTCTGGTTGGATTTGACTAAGCACCTAGATGAAATAAATTTATTTTTATGTAACGTTGTATTGTTACACATGATTCACGTGGCACCACTCCACGCTTTGTAATTGCATTTCAAGCTAACTGTGCCACCTGTCATTCCTATCACATTAAAAAAAATTCATTATGACAGAAACACAGATGGTATATCATGCGTTTTTATGCAAGCAGTGAGAAATTTTATTTTTTTAAGTTATTAACTTTTTAATACACATATCTTATTATTTATATAATGACACGTGATATATCATTCTATGTGCTGATCACACTGAAAAATTTCTCTACCACATCGAATATCCTTTCCGGATAAGATTCCAACCAAAAGTAATCGCCCCCTCAAACCTCCCCTACTTAGGGTGCATCCTCATCCCACAACTGTTGGATTTGATGCCAACAATGAAAACAACCAGTCTAGATTTGTTTGGAGTTACCAAGTTTGATGCACATCTAAGAGCATTTCCAATAAAAATATCAAAAATTAAATATCAAGTATGTTTCAATGTGGGAGTTTCTCTTCTTTCAACCTATATAATTTTTTAAGGATCTCTTTTAAAAAGAAATTAATTAAAACAAATTTTCACAATTTATAATTTGTGTATTAATAAGATCTGCATAATAAAATAATTAAAAAAATTGACCGCACCTTTTTTCATAAGATAAATTCAGGTAAGATTGTCGTAGAATTTGTTTCCACGTTAAAATTTAAGGGGTTTTTTTTATATAGATTCAAAGTAACTAAAAATTAAACCTATTTCAAAAGTAAAAAATCACTAAAAATTGAACTTATTTCAAAAAATAACCTATAAACTTAGATCTATTTTAAATTTTTCCGAAATTTAATTGCGTGACATAGAATTTGACAATCCTTTTGAAAATGATTTAAGGTGCGCATCATGGACATTTGTACATTTGCCGCGTTTCCCAACACAACACAAAACAAAAATTAATCTCCTTATATTCTTATAATTGAATTTATTAACCCGATTAATTAAGTACGGACATAGAGACGGCCGTTGATGGTAGAGCCGGAAACGGCGTCGTCAAACCCAACCCAGCGGCATTGGGCTGCAGATACAGGAGCAAAAATGGCCGAGTCTCTTGAGTAGGCTTTCTCCGTCATCGGATTCACGGTTCGTTTGTACGGACCGAACCACTTGTTCTGCATGTAACGATTCTTCCGCCACGGAGGCACGGAGAGATCCGTACTCCTCAGCGATCTCTTCGCCGCGTCGCTCGTGACCCGCACGATCCGCTTCAGATCCTCCGAGCTGCCTACGAAGTCCCTCGGCAGAAGCTGCAGCAGCCGCGAGTACTGGCTCGACGGCCGAGCTATTTCAAACTCGGCGGCGAAGTCGAGGTCCACGAAGTACCTGCTCTGCCACGTGGAGGAGCCGGATGGGACGGGTACGACGTCTATGAACTCGTAGTTCCCGGCGGTGATGTTGCCGGAGGAGGTCCATTTCGTCTTGCAGATAGCCGCGTTGTGTCCCAATCCTCTCAGAAACGACATCACGCTCCGCCGCAGAGTGGACTCGCTGCTTCCGCCGCCGTTGGACCTCAAACACGCGAAAGCCTCCGCTGCCTGGGAAACGTGAGAGCGGAGCAGCTTCAGGTACGAATCCGCATTTCCGGAAACGGCAACGGATTTGAGGACGGAGTCGATCGCGTCCGTATTGGAGCCCGATTCGACTCGTTCCGAGTCGGACTCGTTGTCGGGAAACCCAGCCGCGGACGACTCGTCATGGTGGAGGAAGTCGTGGACGAGCTCGGAGAGGGAGTCGTAGTCGCCGGAGTGCTCGCTTCCTTTGCTGGTGTCAGGAAGTCCGGAGCTGTATCCGCCGCCTACTAGTCGATCTTTCACCCGGTCATCGAGCGGGTAAGTGACCCGTTTCGATCTCGTTCTAACAAAACCAGCCATTGATGATCAAACAGTTTCTCCTTCCTAGTTTTATTTCAGTAAATCGAACTCAGGATAGGAACGATCAAGTAGTTCTTGAAAATTATGAATATGTGAGAGGAGTTTATATAGGGGTGGAAAAAGTGGAAGGGTTTGAAGGGAATAAAAAAAAGGGATATTCGGTTTTTAAAGTGGTCACTGTTGGAGAGGGAGGATATCCGAGAGGGATCGAGTGAACAGGTGGCGGCATATCCAGTGGCACCTGCGGTGGTTTATTCGATTACGTGACGCGGAGGCTCTGACCGCTTGATGGTTTTTGTAGGGTAGGGGTTTGTCGCCCACGAGACCGGCACGTGATTTAATGGGTCTTGGAATGTGGAATTTTGGCAGAGAATAATCAAGTCGAGATGGATAAGTAGTTGAAAGATGCTAGAATCATCTTACTCAACACTTAGTATTTATACACATAAGTATATGTAACGAGTTCGATGTTAAATTATTATATTAAAATTATTAAGTAATTTAATTTAAAATATCTATCATTTAGCGCAGTTCTATTACTGTATCAAAAATAAAAACTATAATGCTAGCGCAAAATTTAAGAATATGGTAACAAAGTAGGGTACGCATGCGTAAATGTTGGATGCTAGCACTGCTACAGTTGCGAAACAATCCTCCGATATTTCAATTGGCGTTATGCTAGTTTCCAAAATCTCTCTGGGTTATTATAAACATATATTTTGTGTTTATGAAAGAGTGGAACAAATGTGTTTGAAGCTGGGAAGCAAAGGACCGGGCCTATGTATGGCTCTTCCCCTCGTTCCTTAATAGATCATAAACATCGTAGAACTCTTTTTTTTGGGTACAATCATAAAAAAGGTTATTTAAGCAATAATGTTATTTTTGTGTTTACCCCATCAAGAAAAATCTATTTATAGTTGTTGATCCTAAAAAATTACTTAGTCTACATGGCGTTCAGGCCGAGTAACTAGTAAGCTAATTACTTCCTTCAGTTGAATGCGGGGTGTGCCAACTCATTGGCCGAGCTCGGCCTGGCACTAAATGAATGTTGATGTGGCGTTGGGCATGTTGCTGACTTCTTGACCTCGTGACTGTGGCCGAAGAAGGAACACATCTCGGCCTTCGGGTTCTAGAGCCTAAAGACAAGTCTGCTAGTTATGCAATCAAATTCGGCTTTCAGTGTGCTGACTGTAGTAAACTAGTAGCACCTCACTTCGCCGAGAAGGCTGATAAAATGACCTTTACCAACAAGGACTCAGAAATCCTTGTTGACCAAGACTTGGATAGGTAACTAGTCGGTCTCGAAGCAGTGCTGTTTATCCAAATTGAAGGTGCTTCTCGGTCGACTGATTCTACGGCTCCAGTTGTTGGTTGCCACCACAACGCTATTTATCCAAACTGAAGGTGTGTTAGCGAGAAAAAGGAAAATAAAAATCTCAAGGTCTTTAAGAGGTTTCGTGTAGAGTGAGAGTTTGCGCATGGCCGTTTGTGTGTTGATTTGGAGGGGCTTTAAATGATGCACTCCCTTATCTATTTATAGGAGTAATTTCCTCAATGACTGTGGTAGAATTTCACTCAGACTAGAATTCCTTAACCCAATCTGAATAGGTCTCGGTCAATCTTAATTCATATAGGACTCTGAACCAAGCTATTTAATCACTCAGATTCAACTGTTGACTCTTTACATCTTTTTTTTTACTCGAAGCAACCTAGGTTTTGAAGAATCCTTATTGTATTAATATTTGACTACTTCACCCTTATTCAGACGGAATCATCTTCTAATAGGAATTGGCCGAACTCTACTGGGCCGTGCCCAAGGTATGAATATTCCTGAAACTTTTTACTAGGCTGAGATGTCACATCCCGGCCCGGGCGGGACCACTTCTCGGCCCCGACTCCAACATAGCATGATATTATCCGCTTTGGGCCCCAACCACACCTTCACGATTTTGTTTTTGGGAACTCACACGAGAACTTCCCGATCGGTCACCCATCCTAGGAATGCTTTGGCGCGCTACTCGCTTAACTTCGGAGTTCCCATGGAACCCGAAGCCAGTAAGCTCCCAAAAAGCCTCGTGCTTGGTAGGGATGAGAATATACATATAAGGATCACACCCCTGGGCGATGTGGGATGTCACAATCCACCCCCCTTAGGGGCCTGACGTCCTCGTTGACACACCACGACCAGGGTTAGGCTCTAATACCAAATTGTAACATCCCAGCCTGGGCGGGACCACTTCATGGCCCCGACTCCACCGTAGCACGATATTGTCCGCTTTGGGCCCCGACCACGCCCTCACGGTTTTGTTTTTGGGAACTCACACAAGAACTTCCCGATGGGTCACCCATCTTAGGAATGTTCTAGCATGCTATTCGCTTAACTTCAGAGTTCCCATGGAACCCAAAGCCAGTGAGCTCCCAAAAGGCCTCGTGCTAGGTAGGGATGGGAATATACATATAAGGATCACATCCCTGGGCGATGTGGGATGTCACACGAGAACAATCATGGGCTCGGCCCAAAGTATTATTTTGGGTCCAAACAATAGCGTTCCAAAATGCTATGAAGATGTCACATTTTATTTCACTTTAGAAACACTATAATATTTTTAGGTCTATTCTAGTATTGACTGACATAGCGCTTCTAGTGCTGCTATTATATCATATAGTTTTTTAACTACGATATATTTGCACTCAAAAAGTAATAATTGAGACTAAAATACACAGTATGTTTACTATAATCTTAGAGCTAAGTGACATATTATAGTAGTTTCGAAGTGATACTATGCAATATTATGGGGTATGATGCTAGATAAAACAAATTAAAGAAGATTAATTAATTTAAATTAACACGAAGTATATGAAAAACAAAAATAAATATACGAAAAGCACCACTCGCGGCTATTTTAACTCTTGACTGACGTTTTAGCGTATCGTACCAATTAAAATAGTGTTACATTCTAGAAACGATTTGCAGGCATCACAGTACAGTGTAGTGTTGGCATTTTCCACTTCACGCACAGAATATTCTTGGAGACCAAGACGATTGTAAGTTTTATAGACTTCAATCATAGATATGGGCCCATGTGATTAGTTCGTCCAAAATGTGTCAACATGATTTCGACACTATTCCTTAAAGCCGAAATTCACGGAGTGCAGAAATGAGCCACTCTTGCTTCTACGCGTGCATGCTTCCAATACGTTAATCTCAGTATGAAAGAAAGAAAAGTAGCTCGTTTTAACCAACTTTCTTAAATGCCTGCAAACACTTTGTCGATACATATTTGATCATTATATTTGATTTAATAATTTCAGATCACCTAAGCCATTTCAAATGGACTAGAAAGTTTAGAGTAAAAACTCATAATTTAACTTTAACTTTGACTGAATAGATCTTTATTGCACCGAAAAAATTAAAGTTATATATTACTTCAGAATCAAGTGTGAAGTCACATTGACTGAGAATTAACTCTAGAATTAAATATAAGATTCACATTAAATTACACATGTTGTAAATAATATTTATTATGTGGTTGTTTATTTCTGGGACAATATGTAATTAGATAAAAACCTTTTTGTACATATAAATCACAAATCTATAAATAGGTACTCTAATGGAAAGAAAATGATACTCTCAACTATAAGAACAACCAATATCTAGTGGTGATTTTGTAGGTGCGTTGTCTATGCTTGATTTCAGCCCTTGCTCTTGAGTTACTTCCCATCAAGAAAGGGTTGGAATTTCCACTGGATTTAGATTGTGTTTTGAGGTTGAGATGCAGTTCAGTGTAGCTAGGGTACCAAAACTCTAGTGTTTGGCAAATTCTCTAAATTCTCCAAACACTTTTCCCTCAAAATTCTAACTTTAGCATCAGAGGTTCTTCTACCAAAGCCCCCCCCCCCATTCATCGTGGGCTCGTGAGGCTCTTGGCCTTGACCTAAGGTGTTATTTGTTTTGTAGATGCAATTTTGACCAAGAACAAGGAGGAAAAAATTTGCATCCACAAATTGGTGTTTTCATTGAGAGTTGAGTCCCACACTCGTAAAAGACTCTTACATCCAAGGTTTTCTATTTTCTTGTCCATTTGTAGATTTTTCGTATGTTCTTATTATTAGAATTTTTTATTTGAAAAAATTCTTTGATAAAACATAAAAGAAAAGTACAATGGCTAGAAATTTGGAAACTTCAATGAACGAAAATTCCAATGTTCAAGAGATGGAACCACAACGGTCCACGAGGCTAAACGTGACAATAAATGAAGCGGCAGGCAACCACCGCGGTGGCCACCACAGTAGCCACCCACAGTGAGGTCTATGGTGCCACCACCACGGCCCAAGCCATGTCATCCAAGCTTGCTGTGACATCCAAGGCCCACAGCACCAAAGCCACAGCCTAAGCCGTGTCATACCAAGCCCAAGGCAAACCAGCTCGTGCCGCCTAAATCCAATGCAAACCCAATGCGTTGCCAAGCCGAGCCCAAGCTTCACACCCGCGTGCACCACACGCAAAGCAGCCCACTCATGTGGCTCAACCTGCTCCTGTGGCTTTCCAAGCAGCCCAAGCCGGGCCAAGATTAGCTCAACCATCCCGACTTCAAATTTTAGGACCTACGATCGAGTTGGAGGCATTTTCACCACACTTCTCTGCGGATTTAACATTTCCCAACTCAAATCTCACACCTGGAGTCAGTTACCGTTTCATTGCTCAAGAAGGCGCATTCCTTCCAAGCTCTTCCAATCCAAATGGTGAACAACACTTGTCCTGACAAGTCACAGAGTTGACAAGCGCCTTTGCACAACAAACGACCTTGGTGAATCAACTCTTGCAGTGCACCGAGATCCAAGGTGCCCTAGACGAGATGTCCCGAAGCAGGACAAGGGTAGACGAAGAACCTCTCCAGTAATGTCCTGGCAAGCAGCCACTTAACCAGCCACGAACCGAGCGTTCAGGCAGTATACATTCCCGATTGGGTCCCCGAGATAGCGTATACTCCCGTCTTAACGTGTGGAGGAGCGTGCACTCTTGACTAGGCCCACGGATGAGTATACACTCACGGTTGAGGCCACATTCCGATAATTAACATGAGCAGCCTTCCAGACTAAGCAGAGTAGGCAGCACATCAGAGTAG